CCCTTCCCTTCCTTCCCTTCCTTCCCTTCCCTTCCCTTCCCTTCCCTTCCCTTCCCTTCCCTTCCATTCCATTTCCGTCGCTTCTCTTCCTGAACACTCTCTCTTCCCCCCCTGCACCCTCCTTCCCCTTCCTTCCCATCTCCCCTATCAGAACGACACACGTGCATCCATCGCCACCAAGTCAAACCTCATGCATCACGAGTCACGAGTCACTTTTGAGACTTCTCTAAAGCTGCCTTCCCCCTCCTCCCCCTTCCCCCCCATCAGAACGACACGTGTGCATCAATCGCCACCAAGTTCAACCTCACAGATCTCACCTCCATCAACCCCAACCTCAACTGCAGCAACATCGTCGCCACCCAAGTAAGCCTCCCTACCCCACATAACCCTCCTCCACATAGCCCCCATGACACGTGTGCCGCATTCTCACTTCCCATCCCCCGTTCTCTTCACTTCACCCCACTGCCCTCACCACGTGTGTGTGGAGATGGGCCAAGCTCTCCCCCAGCCCCCGCATCAAGAGGATGCGGGTTGTAGGACGGCGGAGGGAGGGTTTGCGCATCAAGAGGATGCATGGAGCGCCACCGACATGTGTCTCTCATTCTTACTAAAACCCACCCCACCCCTCTCCCCCTCCCCGTCAACAGGTGTGCGTGGAGATGGGTCAGGCCCTCCCCCCAGCCTCAGTATCCACGGTGTGCACAGAGTACTACACGCTGAGCTCCACCGACACGTGTGCGAGCGTGCAGAGCGCGTATGGGCTCACGGCCACGGAGCTGTACCGGCTCAACCCGGGGCTCAACTGCAACAACCTCATTGATTATTCTGACTCCTCGGTGAGTCAATTTGATGGGAGAGGGGGTTTGAGAAGCAGGGTGAGGACACCGACGCGTGTGCGAGCGTGCAGAGCGCGTACGGGCTCACGGCCACAGAGCTCTACCAGCTCAACCCGGGCCTCAACTGCAACAACCTCATTGACTACTCCGACTCCTCGGTGAGTCATTGGGAAGGGCTTCAAGGCATGAGTGGAAGTGAGAGGGAGTGGGTCATGAGAGTCAATGCTGGTTAGATGTACCCGTACCCTTGCTTCTTCTCATCACCCACTTCACACTTCCTCTTTCCTTCCCTCCCCACGCACAGCTCTGTGTGGCACAAGTTTGGCGCCTCGTCATGCAGCAAGCGCTACACAGTGAAGTCGGGAGATACGTGTGCGGCCATAATCTACAAGTACCTCCCATGCCACCACTCTCCCTTGGAGTCGACTCAAAATGAGGTGACTTTTGAGTCGACTCAAAAGTCGGGAGACACGTGTGCGGCCATCATCTAGAGGTACCTCCCATGCCACCACTCTCCCTCTCGCTCTCACTCCCCTCTTTTGCGCTTTCCCTTCCCCTCCTCCCTCCCTCTTGCCTCCCGTCCCCTCCCTCACCTTCTCTCCAGCTCTGTGTGGCGCAAGCCAAGTTTGGCGCCTCATCATGCAGCAAGCGCTACACAGTGAAGTCGGGGGACACGTGTGCGGCCATCATCTACAAGTACTTCCGAGGGAAGACCTCGTACGTCAGCAAGCTCAACAACGGCTTCGTCTGCACCTCCTCCTCGCTCTACGTCGGCCTCTCCCTCTGCGTCTACAACCTGTGACAGCCGTTGCGCCCACCTGCAAGCTGGCCGTTTGTTGAGTCAGCTTGAAGCTCAACACGTTTCCACCCACCATCTACCGTACATCAGCATCTCCCTTTGCTGACACGTTTTGCTCGGCTGAGTGCTTGCTGAAGCGCGATACTGGCGGTCTGTCTAAATACCGGTAGGTTTGTTGGTCACCAAGCTCAACAGTGGCTATGTGTGTAGCTCTTGAATGTTCCGCATTGGACAACTGTAGCTGCCACTGTAGAAAGTTGTTTGTTTGTACGATGTGTAATTATAAAAAGGACTTGGGTTTGTGCTCCCGTGTAGACATGCTTTAGGACACGTCCTCCCTAGATCGATCGTGCAAAATCGAGGAATGTCGATCGTCCACCACACTAAAACCCCAAGTAAAGCATTTAAAACTGTTTAAAAACTTTCTGAACCGAATCAAATATCGATCCTGTATTAACTCCATGTATAAACAACAGTGGCCCAACAGGGGCCCACACTGTATACTGGAATACCCAACAGGGGCCTCACTGTATACTGTATGACGACACTGGAAACTAGTGAAATGGACACAGCCAGCCTCAAGCAACAAGCACACAATCAAGGAGCATTAGGAAGACTGGTACACGACACGAGTAGCTAAAGAAGGATTCAGGAGAACACAACAACCTTCTCATCAGCGCCGTAGCGCTGCCAGTTGCCGCCGAAGGCCCAGTTCTCGTAGCCGCCATTGCCAAGATTCTCGACGGAGAAGGGGCCCTGCTTGTAATACACGGTGAACTCGGAGTTATCCCAGAAGTGCCACACCTCCACCGCCGCGGACGCCGGGTCGCCCTGCACGGAGTGGGCGCTCTGAATGACCATCACGTTGTACCCCGCGTTCATGAATAGATCCACGATCTTCGTCGTCACCTCGTCGTCCTCTGGACCGTCGATCGTGCCCAGGCTGCCCGCAATGATCTGATCAACGGTCACGCCGTCCCAGCTGAACAATTTCCGCTCCACCCTGTGCGGGGATACCGCGGAATCCGCGCTGGTGTCGGAGGGGGACGGGTGCAGGATAGGCCGCGCGGCGCTGGCGTTGGTGACGGCGAGGAGGAGCAGGACGGAGAGAGTGAGAGGAAGCAGCTTGCGAGCCGAGTGAAGCCACACGTTGGCCATTGAGAAATCGGTTGGATGATCGTGTCTCAGTACAATTTGCCAGAGACTAAAAATCAGCGAAACGCTAACCGTACGCTTTAATGCGAGTGAGAATCACGCAGAAGGATTCAAATCCCTGAGCCGCGAGGTGCTTGGTATGCGAAATCGAAGGCAGGAAAAAGAAAACGGAGGCGGGAGCTGTGATGATTGAGGTGAGTCGCAGCGTCTAATTTATAGACCCTCGCATAGCTCGGAACTGCAACTGGACTGCGCCTCGCTTGAGGCACCATGATTGACGTACGGACTACGCTCGAACGTGATTGACACGTGAGAAATGGAGTTCCTCGGGTCCGACTTGGCGGTTGGTGGGGGAAAAAGGGAGCGGCTAATGCGAACTAGTCATGAAAGCAGCTGGTGGTAATGCAGAGGGCACAGCGAGCTGAGGTGTGTCGAGGGGTGGAGGGGAAGGGTGGAAGTGAAGGGGACAAAGGGCGGTTGCTTCGCTGCAGGCGAGGGTCGGTCCGCCTGTTGGCAAAATCGATGAAATTTCAGGCTACACTGCGTGCTTGACATTTTCACCAGAAGTAGAGAGTAAACTGAGTCATTTTTCAATTCAGCCTTTTAGCATCTAGAAATTGTGCACGCACATGGATTCATATGGAAAACTGAACGCTTTAGAGCAGTATTTTTTTTTAAATCTCTCTAAGAAACCAAAGCAGGTTATGAAATAGTTTGGGTAGCGATAGCAGCAAAACGTCGTGAGTCGATTGTAAGCTAAGATACACACACGAAATGCTTCAAATTGAGAAAGCTTGCTTTCTTGTCCTTATAATTTGGCATCGTTCTCATTGCAACTGGCATCGTTCTCATTGCAACTGGCTTATTACAACATATGCATCGTTCTTAAACACATGCTAGTACATACAAATATTACTAGCTATAGAGTCGTCCGTCCAAGCAGCAGTGGTCTTGTAGTTGGTCCGGGGTGGGTGGTGGGGATGTTGATTGAGCCGTTGGAAAACGAGAAACGTGGGTGGAGGGAATGAACTCCAACCCACGGTTTTTGTAGTTGGAGAAGGGCGTTTATGTCAAAATGAGGAATGAATGATGCATTGATGTTGGTTGGGGTACATATAGCTAACCCTAACTTTTGTACTCCCTAAGACAAACCTCACTATAGGCTACAACATTTGACACACCCCCATAGCCTAAGTGAGGGGTGTCTAGCAAAACCAAACGAGTACGGTCACAAGACCAGTCCAAGAAACAAAGCTCAGGGTGGATCACAACGTCACCACACAGTCTGAGCACAAACAACAGTGGCCACAAGGCCAGTCCAAGAAGTAACAGAGGTATATAGAAAGCAAAGTAAACAGTACACTCAAGTCTAAGCAACACGAGAACCAGTGTCAACAAGGCCTAACTGCACACAGCACCTCTGGTGGTCACAAGGCGGAAGCGTCTTGGTGAAGATGTCTGCAGTGTTGGCCTCGGACTCCACAAACTCAAAGCGAGCCTGTCCACGCCTCTGCAACTCTCGCAGAAGAAAGTACCTGACGTGAATGTGCTTCACTCTGCTCTCCAGTCGTGGCTCTCGACAAAGGAGAATAGACGCCTTGTTGTCAGTGAACAAGGTCGGTGCAGAGCTCGGCCGCTCACCAAGGTCGGTAAGCAAGAAGGTCAACCAACGCAGCTCCTGTGCCGCCATGGCACCAGCGTAGATCTCAGCCTCAGCTGTAGAGGTCGAGACCGAAGAGGAGCGCGTGGACCGCCAGGAAACAGCTCCAGAACCCAGGCTGAAACAGTAACCCTGAGTAGACCTGTGAGTCTCAGCGTCGTCAGCGTAAGAGGAGTCACAGTGACCAGTAAGTACGACAGACTGCTGCCCTCCAAGAACTAGCCCCACGCCTGACGTCGTCGCTAGGTACTTCGCCACCCTCACAGCTGCTGTCCAGTGAACAGGACGGTGTCTCCCTGGCGCAACAAAGCGCGCAAGAACGCTGAGAGGGAAGGCGAGGTCCGGGCGAGTACAAGTCATCAGGTACATGAGGCAACCCACAAGCTCTGCGTAGGGACCACTAGGCTCGAACGGCTCGTCAGGAAAGGGTCCAGTGAGTCTGTGGTCAACAGCAAGAGGTGTGCGCTGTACTGTGGAGTGCTGAAGCCCGAACCGCTGAAGGACCTGCTGCACCATGTGCGACTGTGAAAGTGTAATGGTGCGAGCAGCTCTGTCCCTGGTGATCTGCAGGCCAAGGTAGTGGCGCAGCTCACCAAGATCAGTGCAGGTGTGTCTCTTCTGCAGTTCGGACTTCACGTGTGCCAAAGCAACCCTGTCAGGGGTGGCGAAAACAAGGTCGTCAACGTAGACCAGAACAAAGAAAGGTGTGGGGCCACGACGAACGAACAGCGACGGGTCAGCAGAAGACGGCTGGAACCCAAGGTCAGACAGGGTAGAACGCAGGGTGTCGTGCCACTCACGAGGAGCCTGACGAAGACCGTAAACCGGTCGCCTCAGCCTCCACTGGGTCCCAGGAGGGAAAGAGCCAGTGAAGGCAGAGGGACGACGCAACCAGACCTCCTCGTGAAGACTGCCCTGAAGGAAAGCAGTAGAGAAGTCGAGAGAGTGTAACTCGTAGTCTCTCTGTGCTGCTACGTGTAGTAACACCCGAAGAGTGGTCATCTTCGGGGTGGGCGCGAAGGTCTGAAAGAAGTCAACTCCCTCGCGCTGACTGAAACCTCTAGCCACGTAGCGCGCCTTGAAGACCGGAGGAGATCCCGGTGGCCGCTTCACCCTGTAGATCCACATGCCGTCGACTACGTTCGCCCCCGGAGGGGGAACCTCATCGACGTAGGTGCCTGTGGATCTGTAGGAGGCCATCTCTGCGTCCATGGCAGCTCTCCACTGAGAGGCCCAAGGCCCTGACACTGCCTCAGCGTAGGTGCGAGGAGTCGGAATGTCAAGGGCGTCGGGGTCACCCTCAAGGGCGAGGAGCATGGCACAGAGATGAGGGGAAGCGGCCGCCAGGAACTCTAGCTCAAACTGCCTGTCCTCTAGGGCGTCACAGCCAAGGGCAGACACACCCCCGACGGCCAGAGGACTGGAAGGAGGAGCAGCCACAAGACCGGTGGCGAAGTCAAGGCGGCGGGTAGAGGCAAAGTCAGTGACTGCGGCAGTAAGAGCGGACACAGAGGACACAGAGGCACGAGGGTGAGTAACAAGCGAGGCGAGAACACGAGAGAGAACAGGACGGTACGTGCGGTAGTAGTCAGTGACAGGAGTAGGGAGCGACGCAGTGAGAGCCGACTCAGGAGGAGACGGAAGCACAGACGGAGACGGACGAGGTGGACTAGAACGAAGTAAGGCAGTACGAAGGTCAGTGAAGGGAACAGGAGACGAGGGACGAGCACGAGGGGAGCGACGAGAGGCCCAAGTCTGAGAAGGAGGAGGGGACAACGAAGACTGAGAACGAGGGAAAACAGCGGGAGAGGGGTCAGGAGGAGGAAGCGGAGGACCAGAGACGGGAGGAGAGGGGGAGGAGGAAGGAGAGGGAGAGGGGAGACCAAGGGTCCGAAGACCCGAGACAGGAGGAGGAGACGGCAGCTGCTGCTGCTGCTGCGGCTGCTGTGGCTGCTGCTGCTCCAGCGGCTGCTGCCCCTGCTGCTGCTCCTGCTGCTGTCGCTCCTGCTCCTCGAGCCGCTGCAACTCTCTCTCCTCTCTCTCCAACTCCAGCTGCTCCTCACGAGCACGGCGAACACGAGCCTGGAACCTGGTCGGGTAGGGGTGGGGGGAAGGAGTAGTGTCCGGGGCAGCGGCAGCCCCAGAGTCGACCTCCGAAGCACCAAGCACACCACCCCCAGAGGCAGCACCAACACCAGCTCCAGACCCAGGCTCTCCAGAAACCGAAGGGGGAGGGCTAGCCTGAGACACACCAGACGGGGCTGGACCAGGGGGGGGAGGCTGTATATATACCCTGCTTGCTGTGTGTTCTAGTGTAGCTACAGTGGTGGTGCACCAATGTGCTCACCTTTCTTTGCTATATCTTGTAACCTTGCTGTAGTGAACCGCTCCTTCCTGTTTCTCTCGCTCACGCTACCCCAAACCCTAAGGCTACTATTCTAACATGGTACAGAGCTGGTTCTTTCCCGGAACCTTCTCTTTTTTTTAAGAATCATGGGCCCGCCCGTACTACAGCGCGAAATGCGCTATTTTTTTTCTCCCCGTTCGCCCGTCACGCGCGCCCTGCCCGTCCCCCCGAACGTGCCACGTCGGCTGCCTCGCGGACGCCCCGTCGGCTGCCCCGCGGACGCCCTGCCCGTCGCCCGCTGCCCCCCCGTTTCGTCGCCACGCGGCCCCCATTTCGTCGCCACGCGGCCCCCGTTTCGTCGCCCCCGTCACCCCGCAATCCGCCAGCGCGGAGGCCAGCGCCGCGGCCAGCCGCCAGCGCCAGCAGCAGCTACCGCCGCCCCCCCCCCCCCCCTCCCTTCCGCGGCTTCCGTCGTGGGGAGGGGGGAGGGAGGGGGAAGGGGTTGTGGGGGGGGGCGGGTGTGAGGAGCCTGCCACTCCTCCCTCCCTTCCCTCTTCCTCTCTCCCTGCAGCAACTGTTGCTGTAGGGGGGGGGGGGGGAGAGAAGTGCAGAAGGGTGAGGGGGTGGCGGGAGAAGACAGGTGCGGAAGGTGTGAGGTTGACGGGGTTGAGTGACGAGGGGGGTGAGGACTAAGGGGTTCTTAACGGGGGGGGATCGCATTGAGCGTGCGCGCTCATGCCCGCCTAGCCCACCTCCTCTCCTCATCGGGACTTGGGGGTTCTTAACGGGGGGGGATCGCTATGAGCTTTCGCGCTCAAGCCCGCCTAGCCCACCTCCTCTCCCTTCCCTCTCTCACCTCCCCTTTGTAAAAGGAGGTTCGTAAGCGGGTCCGCCGGTCCTGGCCCCCCACCTCCTCTCCTCTCCTCTCCTCTCCTCTCCTCTCTACCCTCTTCCGCTGCGCCACGTGTACCTGTACTAGTTATCACGGCAAGCAGGTTAAGGGGGTGTGTTAAGTTTTGTTATATACCCTGCTTGCTGTGTGTTCTAGTGTAGCTACAGTGGTGGTGCACCAATGTGCTCACCTTTCTTTGCTATATCTTGTAACCTTGCTGTAGTGAACCGCTCCTTCCTGTTTCTCTCGCTCACGCTACCCCAAACCCTAAGGCTACTATTCTAACAAAATTGCACGCACAACAAGACATTCAGGAATCCTACTACTTCCCAGTCTCATTCCTCCTATCTGACGATTACAACTTGCTTCCCTTCGTTCTTCCGGCCAACTTGCTATTCCTCCTCGTCCTCCTCCTCCTCCTCCTCCTCCTCCTCGTCCTCCTCGTCGTCCTCGTCGTCCTCGTCGTCCTCCTCGTCGTCGCCGTCGTCCTCCTCCTCCTCCTCGTCTTCATCACTCGACCCCCAGCCCCCCTCGTCGACGTACCTGTCATCCTCACTGTCCCTGCCATAGTCATGCAGGATCTGCAAATTCTCAAAACAACTCTCTGCATCCTCCTCTGCCTCGCTGTCCGCCTCGTCCCCTTCCCCTGCCACATCTCCACTCTCCTTACCCTCTACCTCCGCCCCTCCTTCCTCCTCTCCCCCTTTCCCTGCCGCATCTCCACCCTCCTCACCCTATCCCTCCTCCCCTCCGTCCTCCTCTCCTTCACCAACCACCACTCCCTCTCCTTCCTCCCCATCCCCCTCTTGAGCCCTTGCAGGAGCCCACCTCTCGTCTCGCCAAGGGAGAAAAGGACAGTCTCTGACATCATACTCGCGCAGCGTTGGCATTCTCCCGAGAGCAGTCGGTAGCCGGGCCAAATTGTGGCACTCTGTCACCCGCAGCACCTGCAGCTTCGGCAGCTTAGAGAAGGACTCTGGCAGGCTGCGCATGTGCTGCAGCCCGACGAGCACCAACTTTTGCAGGGAAGCCAGTTTCCAGAAATCAACCGGAAATGTCCTGATCCCATTCTTGGTGAGGATGCACGATTGCAGCTTGGACAGATTCGCGAAGGAACTTGGAAGCTTCATCAGCTTGTAGCAGTCAATGATCTCCAGCGTCTCAAGCATTTTCAGCTGCCCGAAAGACTCAGGCAGCTGCCGTAACGCAATGAGGTCAACCAGCTTTAAGACCCGCAGACCTGAGAGCCCTCCAAAGGTGTCAGGCAGAGCCTCCAACTGGATGGCTGAATCGATGCGGAGTATTTTCAGGCGTGAGAGTTGAGAGATGGAGTGAGGGAGTGACAAGATGAAGTTCATATCTAGGAGCTTGAGCTTCGTTAAAGAGGGGAGCTGGCCAAGGGACGGACCAAGGGCGTGGCAGGAAACCGACTTAATCTTGAGACTCGCGAGGGACGGAAGCAGTGCCCTGCTGTCGCTGCCGGTGCTGCTCGTGTCGGTGTTGCTGGTGCCAGTGCTGAAAGCGCCGGTGCAGAATGCGCAGGTGCGGTTAGAGTGTGCCAAAGAGCCACTGGAGGTGCGTTCGTGCACCACCTCATCCCCTAGCAGCGCACCAACCCCACAGCATGCCCGCACCTCCAGCACGCGCAGGCAGGGCAGCCTAACCAGCGACCCAGGGAGATCCCTCAAGCCGTCCATCCGTACGATCTTGACCACCTCGAGCGCCTCCAACCGTCCGATTCCCTCTGGCAGGACCGTTACTTTAGGGCAGTTTAGAATATCCAGGCTGGTGAGTGAAGAAGCTCCTGAGACGCGGTCAGGAAGGGCAGATAGGCGGGGCATGTGTTGAAGCACCAACTCTCTGAGGCTTTTCAGGCAGCCGAAACCGTCTAGTAGGGTGCCTCTAAAGCTTTTAGCTTTGATAATCTTGAGGGTTTGGAGAGAAGTCAGGCCGGAGAAGGTTGGAGGGAGGTGGGTGAGAGATGAGCAGCGGTTTAGATGCAGAGATCGCAAGCGGTGCAGACCGTTCCCCATTTCATCTGGCAGCGCGGTGAGGCCCGTGCACGTCTCAATCTCCAGGTGCTCGAGAGACGATAGCTGGGACAGGGTGTCCGGAAGTTGCTGCAGCTGCCCGCACTCCTCTATTTTCAGCTCCCGGAGAGCTGTCAGCTGCCCGAGGGAATCAGGCAGGCGTGTGTGCTGGCAAAGGTTTTTCAGGTGAAGCGTTTCCAAAGCACTCAGCTGCCCTAACTCCTCGGGCAGAGACGGCAGGTTCCAGAGATTATCCAAGGAAAGCTCTTGGAGCGTGGTAACCAGAGCGATGGAACAAGGAAGACTTGCGAGCTCCTTCATCTCCAAATTCAGTGTTCGCAGCTTTGACAACAGCCCAACATGGTCAGGAAGAGCTGAGAGTTGTGGCATGTCAAGGGTGAGACTGGTAAGCGAAGGCAGGCGGAATAGCGACTCAGGCAGAGAGGTGATATCGCTGCAGCGTTTGATAACGAGAGTCTTGAGACGGCACAGATGCTCTAACGCCTCGATTAGCCCGCGCATTCCCTTCACTGCTTCCAGACAGACTGATTCGAGCCTCCATAGCCGCGGAAAATCGACGGGAGACGGGAGAGGAAAGTTACAGCCCCTAATCTTCAGGACGGTGAGAGAAGGAAGGTCGGTGAGGGACGCAGGCAGCTGCATCATGGAGCAGAAATCCAAGGATAGAAGGTTCAGATTGGCAAGTTGCCTGAAAGATTCCGGAAGCGACGCCAGGGAGCGGCAACCGTGCAGCTTGAGCGACGTTAAGAGAAGCAGATTGCCGAGATCTGACGGCAACACCTCGAGTCTGCCAGCGTGCAGCTCGAGGCTTCTGAGGGATTGCAACGAGGTCAGTGTGTCGGGAAGACGCGTGACAGCGTTTGCCTCGAGACGCAGGCTCCTGAGCAAGGTGAGCCGGTCGATTGATGGAGGAAACATGGCAGCACGCTGCGAACACTCCAAATAGAGATCTTCTAGTTAAGTACACTTGTTGAAAAGAAGCTCCAGGCTCTTCTCGCTTACGCCTTTGCGACTATATATAGAACGGTCCATCGATTCTACTCGAAGCGCGGTCAGATCAGGACACAAGTCCGCGACGCGAGAGAACAAGAAATCCGAGGGTGCGGTGAGGCTGTTGGTTGGAAGAATGAGCCTTCTGAGGTTGGTGAACAACGCCAGGCGTTGCACGAGCCGACGCGGATCCATGCGGAGGTTCGACGGCAAGTGTATCTCATTCTGCGAGCGGTACGCGAGGAGACGCCATTGCTTGCTAACACCTGCATGCTCCACCTGGCCATCCGGTCGAATCAGAAGACGCAGGATCTGAGACAGCAGCTCCTCCGGTAGCCGTTGGATAGGCGACTCGACAGCCATAGGTACTAACAAGACACTAAGGGCGTGTAAAATCGGCGTGCATTTTAAACAAGCTTCGACGTTTACGTCGAAAGGGTTGCGTAGGGTTGTATCCACTGCGTTTACTAAGTTCTTCATGATGAGGTATAATAACTTAAAACATGACAAGATAGATAGTCCCTTATTACGGCGAAAATACATTTTCACGTGAGTGTTAACATTCCCCTCCATTTTACCTTGCAGGCAAACAACACGTTTATGTCAGAGGCCTCAAACGCAATGATCATTACTGGTCCTAACATGTATGCATACTGCAACATAATTCTTGGTCAAGTACACTAATACTATGCTGAGCTCTGGTTCTGCTATGCCAGGAGTGGGAAAAGCACCTACCTTCGGCAGGTGGCTTTGCTAACAATCATGGCTCACATTGGCTGCTACGTTCCTGCACGATTCGCATCTTTTCGAGTGGTTGACCGTATATTCACAAGAATTGGCACTGGAGAAAGCATTGAAGAGAATTCGAGCACGGTACATATCCATGTACGCTTAACTTTACCGAGTGCATGGTCGTCCTTCCACTTAAAATCCCTTGTTTGCTTGCAGTTCCTCACAGAAATGCGTGAAACTGCATTCTTGATGGACCATCTGACTCCAAGGTTCGTGTGTACATCTTGATGATTGCATGGTTAAACGCCAAGCATAACCAGCATCACTACTTTTTTTTTTCAGGAGCCTTGTGGTAGTTGATGAGTTGGGATGTGCAACATCAACACTTGATGGTCTTGCGATTGCGTGGAGCTGCTGTGAGCACCTTCTCACGTTTCCGTCGTATGTGAATCATCTTACACGCACATAATTAAAAGTATTGTATCTTTTATTTTTTGTTTCCTGTAACCCCAACATGTTGGTGTGCATGTTTCCAGGTACATAATATTCGCAACTCATATGAAACAGCTTGGTGAGCTGGCCTCCATTTACCCCAATTGCAAAGTGTGCTATTTCTCAGTTGGAATCAGCAATGAGAGACTTGCCTACAAGGTATGGCCTGCAGCCCAGCACATGCAATGTTTTCTTGCTTTGGAGGCTAATGTCGCGATCATCTGGCAGTACGTGCTGAAGGAGGGATACACTGACGTGCCTCACTATGGCTTGCGGCTTGCTGAAGCGATGGGTTTCCCAGCAGCAGTCATGTCTGAAGCTCAGCGAATTGCTGACGTATTGGAAAAGCAGGTATGAACTAGGTTGTTCCTTTCGTGACTCTCCAATGTTTGCACATCCGTATCAAAACGTGGTTGGTGCACCAGGAATCGAGGCGATTGGAGATAGGCTACAGCAAGTTTACGGCACTCCGCCGGGATTATGTTGTGGCGCAACGTCTTTTATGCCTGCAGCAATCCAATCTCAGTGAATCAGAGCTCAAAGATTATCTGCTGAAGCTCAAAGCAAGCTACCTGGATGGTACTCTTGTGTGAGCTTGATGGGTAGAAATCATAAGCATGCTCGATGCATTGTGAATGCAACACCAATAGAGGGTGTCCTCAACAACACTACTGTACAGTTACAATGCATAATACCCTGATTCCACCAGAGCTACCATACTACCGTATTGTCTGACTGAGCGATAGCTCAGAGCGTTGGTGCATTGAATCTGCTACTCGGTACTATCAACCAAACTGGGCTTGCAGCAAACATCCAGAACGACATGCCGAATGTGTGGCGCATACCATTTCACCCGTTCCAAATGCACTGCCTTGACTTCCCAGCTTCTCCCCTCTTCTCTTGCCAGCTTTTCAAACTCCCACACAACATGATCAGTCCATTGCTGCTCCTCCACATCAACAACATTCCCATGCACATGAGCAACACCCCCTTCCTTCGGCTTCAGGCAGCGAATTGCAGTCCTCCAGCTGGCCTCACTCGAGGGGATCAAGCCCAACAGCACCCGATCAGCAACCCCCACTGGAGCAACCACCCTGTTATCCCCCTCCAGCACAGCGTATCTATCTGGCGAAACCTGATTGGCTGCAAGACTGGACCGGAGCCCATGGACAGCCGCAGGGTTCCACTCACATGCAAACACGTGGCGGGCTCGTGCGTGCACAAGCAGCGGAATCGTGAAATACCCGATCCCAGCAAACAGATCTACCACCACTTCTTGGTCATGAAGCTTGAGTGCGGCAATGCGCTGCTTCTCAGTACCATTCCCCGAGGAGAACATGCACTTTGCAGCATCGAATGTGTATGTGATGCCATTCTCGCGGTGCTCCACCCAGGACGAGGACCCCAGCAGCAGCTGCAGCCGGCTGTCTCGAGTCAATGCGGGTGCCACAGGGGCCTGCATCAAGCCACAGTAGGAGAGAGAAAGGGGCAACAGAGAAGAAAGGGAGAAAAAATAGAGACAGCTTCTGGTTAAAGCAAGAGCAGTCATTATTCCACAGCTATCTCCCCTCCCAAGCCTTTACACAAAGCGGACCTTGAAACTGTGGGTGGTGTACCTCTCACCTGCCGGGCCACTCTTGTCGCCCCAAGAGCCTCGGCAACAACCTGCCAGAGCTCCGGCCCGAGCCTGTCCCAAACCTCCCCCAGCATGGCATCAGCTGGCAACACCACCATGTCTCCAAGCCGCTCCCAGCGGGCCGGCAGCTGAGAGAGAAGGGATAAGTGAGTGGCACTAATTTGATTGTCCTCTGAAGAACTGGGTTGCATCGCCTTGAGGTTAAGGAGGGTCTGGATGGCGTGGTGGAGGCGTTGAAAGGGAGTGAGAGGGCGAGCAGCTGACGGAGACAGGCGCAGCTTTGTGAGCACTGCTGTTCCTGCCGCTGGTGATGTGCACTGCTTTGACGCTGCTGGATCTGATGCTGTTGCTGTTGCTCCCACTTCACCCACTGCCTCTGCTGCTACAGCCTCAACTGCCATTGGCTGCTGCTCTTGCACTGATCCAGATACAGCTGTTGGCACTAGTGCTGCTGATACTGGCACAGTAGATGCCGCCATGCACACACCAGCCATGGCAGCAACAGTGCGCACAGCAGACTCGCACACAGGCAACGCCAGCAGAAACTCACCACCGTCACCAGCAGCACCTGAGATACTAGCACTGACATGTGATACCTCGGGACTGGCATTTGGGCTCACTGTAGCTGGCTTGCGGGTCTTGTCTAGAACACCATTTGTCTGTAGCTCATCCTTCCATCGCTTCCCGTCCCTCCGTGGAACCAGCACCACCCACCCCAATCCTCCCTGCGACTCCTGATCCTGCTCTTGCTCCTGTCGTTCCTGCTGCTGCCCCTGCCGCTGTTGGCTAGCATATCCAAACTTTCCTTGAAGAATTCCTTGCAGAGGGATCGTAAAAGGAGGGCTAAAGGCCGATCCGAAGGCAAAGCACGCAGCACCACCCCCCAGCACCAGCAGCCTGTCCCCTACAGTAGAGCCTCCAATTGTACCCCCTGCTGCCACCGACCCTCCCCTCACCACACTGGCAGTGTGGCGCACGGGCAGAGCACCAGGAGGGAGAGCGACGGGGATTCGAGACACCTCAGTGGATGTGGTGTTCACCATAATGATTTCCGGGCCTGCCCGGGAGTGCGGGCAGCCCCCGAAAATTAGAAGGTGCTGCCCGTACGTGGTGAGGGAGTGTGAGAAGCGTTCGGGAATTGAGACTGGGGCAGAATCCCAAACCTTGGTCCACCGAACATGCAGCCTGCTGCCTTTTGTACAACTACTGTTGCTGATATTGCTGTCATTGCTGCTCTTGCTGTCGCTGCTGTCTGCTGGAAAATCTGTTTGAGAGTTTTGAGGCGCCTCACATTCCCCAACAGCTGAATCGCTGCCCACAACCTCAAAATAAAAGAGGTCGGAAAATAGTCTCTGGGAGTCTCGCCCTCCAAAAAGATACACCCGGTTACCAACCGTTGCCATAGCATGGGAGTGGCGAGGGGCAGGCATCTGCCCGGAAACAACCGGGTCGGGCAGCCAGGAAAATGTCCGGGCAGAGAAGACCTGAAGGGAGGTGAGCGGTGGGGCATGCGGGTGGGACGTGCCTCCGAAGACAAAGACCAATGACCCCAGTGCTGCTGCTGCATGGCGATACCTTGCCACGGGTGCACCTGTGGCAGCTGTGGCATCCGAAGCAGGTGGAGCAGCAGCAGCAGCATCTGTAGCAGGTGTGGCAGCCGTAGCATCAGATGCTGCTCCATCCTGTGCAGATGGCGCTTCTGGTGCTGCCACGTGGCGCCACGTCATGGTCCAGAGATTGAGGGAGAACACATCAGCGAGCGGAGCTGTGGGGCCATGCCTGCCTCCGATCACCACCATCTCCTCCTCCTCCCCCTCTTCCTCTCCTCTCTCACTCACCTCACTGCTCTCGACTCCCTTGGCCCTCAGTCCCCTCCCTCGCCCCACAGCAACCACAATGGCAGAGTGCCACATGCGAGCACTCGGCCCGCTTCCTCTTGTCTCCGCCACACTCTCTTCCATCACAAGCTCCCCCTCCTTATCCCCTTCATTTCCAACCCCTCCCTCCTCCCCTCTCTCTCTGACCATCACCACTACCACGTCCCCTCGCCTGCCATGCACTCCGCTTCCCCCGAAACCCCCAAATACCACTACTGCTGTCCCTGCTGCCTCTCCTCTTGATTTCACTCCCTCTAATGTCCCTGCAACTATCAATCCTGCACCTGGTGACCCTGCACCTGGTGACCCTGCTCCTGCCCTTTCTCTTTCCGCTGCGCTTCCTGCACCTGCGATTCCACACATTATTTGTGAAGCAGCAACCGTCACAGCTGAATGACCCCACCGCAAAAGACTGCCCTCGGGCAGCCCTAAAACCTTCACCGCCTGCCCGTGCAGCTGCCCGCCCTGGGCCTTGCTTTCTGGCAGAGAAAGTTCCTCAGTTCCATGACCTGGGTCTTCTGCTTTGTGTAATCCTCTAGGCATATCCCATGCGCTGCTGCAGCAACCACCTGCCACGTCCTGCAATTGCACCATGCCTGCACCTGCACCTGCACCTGCACCTGCACCTGCACCTGCACCTGCCACCGCTGCTGCTGCTGCTGCTGCGGCTGCTGCTGCTGCCCCGGCTGCTGCCGTTGATAGTAATCCTGGCACCGTTGCAACACCACCTCGTAGCGCCACACACTCACCCCGCTCCAACGCCCTTCCCCCAAGCAGACCCACCATCCGCCTCTCCACCTCCCCTATTCTCCGCAGCACTGCCACCTGGCGCTGCTCCAGCTGGCTCCCTTGCAGCGGTGCCAGCTGGCAGTCTTGCCTCTGCGCCACGTGGCCATTTGCCGCCTCTCGCTGGCCTTTCGAGCTGCGCTGTGCCGCTTTTCTAAGATGAGATGACTTGGGCGCTGGGACTGGGCCGTGTGCTGGGTGGAGTGGTATTGGTTGCGGTTGGGATGGTTGGTGTGGCGGATGGGACAGAAGGGAGTAGCTGCACTGCAGGAAAGGAGGGGAGGAGGGAGGAGAGGGGTGAAAAGGGTAAAGAAAAGAAAGACGAGGGTAAGAGAGGGTAAACAAGGGGCAATGAAGGGTGGGAAGAATTGCCTGTTCCTCTGCCCATCCCCTTTTCCGTCCCTTCACCGCGGTCTCACGCGCCTGTGTCCCTGCTTGCTTCAAGCCCCATGACCCCGCCCGCGACACCTCACCTCACCTCACCTCACCTCGCCTCACCTCACCTCACCTCACCTCACCTCACATCCTACTCGGATCGAAACGACTCTTTATTCGTCATTCCACCCGCAACCACCTGCTCCAACCTCATCCCACCCACACTCACCCATCCCCACCCACCCTCACCTCCTCCTTGAACCGAGCTCGGAATCGCTCTGTCCTCTCACGGTTGAGAGCCATCTTGCCGTTGGCCATCGCCGCCACCCACTCCCACCCACTGTCACCCAGCCTCACCCCCTCTCTCCCCCCCCCCCCACCCGCCCCCGCCCCTCCCCCACACCTCCTCCTTGAAGCGCGCTCGGAACCGCTCGGTGCGTTCGCGGTTGAGAGTCATCTTGCCGTTGGCCACGGCCGCCAGCTGGCGCACGTACGCCTCGCCCACCAACGGCACGCCGCCAGCTGTCAGTGGCGCCTCGAGGCGGATGGAGCAACGGACGGCCGCGATGATGCGCTTTGGGCTCACACTGGTGATGCCTGGTGGAAGGGAGTGCGGGGGGGAGAAGGTGTGGGGTGGGGGGCGAATGAGGGGTTGGTGTGTTAGAATTAGGCTGTCAACACTTTGTGTACTATATTTTATAACGCGTAGAATATTTGCGGGTTGGGTGTAGTTTGTAATTCCAACCCTATTTGATTGGGATTCGGATTGGGATTCCCTCGTAATCCTGCAAATCTAGCAACTCACCAATTGGAGATTTGCTAGGATTCCCATCCCATCCTTTCCCTAGCCTTGCCCAACCCAACCTCGTTTGTACTTAAGGCCTTTTACTAATAAATCAGTTGAGCTCCATTTCTGTCATGGTATCCAGCTAGTAAATTTCGCTCACACGGACACCAATCCTTGGCGCCGCGATCGTTTCCGAGAGGAGAGGAAGGTGAAAGGAGAGGGGCGGAAGCTGAAGTCATGAGAGGGGAAATGGCGGGAGTTGGAACGCCAAGGCATGGGGTATCGCCGATAGGTATTTTGGACCTCACACCCACTTACCACCCCCACTGACCCAAACTCGATGATTCCGAGGGTTTCTAGATTGAGTGGGACTGCCTCTAGTGCAACAACGACACCAAGAGAGAGGGACGGGGGAGAGTATACGGTCCTCAGTGTGTTGGGTACAGGGACAGGTCCTTTTTGCTTTTCTTCTTTTCATGCTCCGAATACGGCAGCCCCAGCAGCCCCAGCAGCCTCAGCAGCTCCTGCAGGCGCAGTAGTCCATGCAGCCGCAGGAACCACAGCAGCCCTAGCCACAGCAGTCATAGCAGCTACAGCAGCGTCAGCAACCCCAGTAGCCGAAGCAGCCTTAGCAACCCCCACTGCATGGCAACCACAGGTACAACAGGCAGATCTAGCAAAAAGGTCAAATTTGCTAGGGCACGCTCCTTGCTTCTTTTCCAATTGGAGATTTGCTAGGATTCCCATCCCATCCTTTCCCTAGCCTTGCCCAACCCAACCCCGCTTGTACTTAAGGCCTAGTGCCTTCTTTACTAATAAATCAGTTGAGCTCCATTTCTGTCATGGTGGGGAACTGAGAGGGTATGGGACAGGCCCAAGGGCCTTGATTTGAGTGCGAGAGAGCAACGGTCGGCCACGGTGATGCGCCTAGGGCTCACACTGGTGATGCCTTGGGGGGAGGAGGGGGCGGAGAGGGAAGAGGGGGAGGGAGAAAGGGGAGAGGATTAGGATGGAGCAACAGACGGCCACGATGATGCGCCTGGCGCTCACACTAGCGATGCCTGGGGGGAGGGGCGGCGGTAGGAGGGAGAAAGGGGAATGGACAGCGGTGGTAGAGGAGAGGAAGGGGAGGGAGGGGGAACGGAGGGAAAGGGGGGGATAGGGGAAACCCCCCAATCCCAAACCCCTTAATCCTAAACCCCTTAATCCCAAACCCCTTAATCCCAAACCCCTTAATCCCAAACCCCTTAATCCCACCCCTTAATCCCAAACCCCTTAACACCAAACCCCTTAATCCCAAGCCCTCACCTGACTCTCTGAAACCCGCGCAATGGCGCAGGACACGAGAGCCTGTGCGGCGGAGAGGGAGCGACATTCGAGGGCGAGGATGAGCGGCTGAAAGCGAGGGCTATGTGGGCATCACTCTAACCCAACCCCTGAACCATCACTCAAGCCCAGCCCCTAACCCTTGCTTCCAAGCCCTCACCTGACTCCCTAAAGCCAGCGCGGATGGCGCAGGACACGAGCGCCTGCGCGGCAGCGAGGGAGCAGCGAAAACCTGAAACTCCAAAACGCTAAAAACGGCAACCTGAAACAATATCCTCACCTGACTCCCTAAAGCCCGCGCGGATGGCGCAGGACACGAGGGCTTGCGCGGCGGTGAGGGAGCGACACTCGAGGGCGAGAATGAGCAGCTCGGAGTGAGGGTATGTGACATATACCCTGAACCCCAAAAAGGCTGAACCCCCAGAAACACTTGCTTCCAAGCCCCTCACCTGACTCCCTAAAGCCAGCGCGGATGGCGCAGGAGACAAGCGCCTGCGCGGCGGTGAGGGAGCGACACTCTAGGGCGAGGATGAGCGGCTCGAAGCGGAACACCAGCTCGCCAGGGAGAGCGCGCGGAGAGGCGCAGATGGCGGGGGTGGCGGGGGTGCTAATGCTGCTGGCGCTGTTGCTGCCGTCGGCGTCTGTGCGCGCTGTGCTTGTAGAGAAGACGGCAGTAACGAGGTCGGCAGGGTCGATGGGGTCATGGCTGACCAACAGCCACTCGCCACCCTGCACGTGGCGTGGGTACGGGTGAGAGAAGAAAGGATTATGAAGGTACTATGAGAAGCGTGGGGGGCGGTACTTGTGAGGCGCCTCAAGAGTCGCCCTGCTTGTGATGCTGGTACGGGTGAGAGAAGGGGGAATCATGGAGTCATTATGAGAAGTGTGGAGGGTGGTACTTGTTAGGGACAGGATGCGCGGATCGGAAGCATATGAGCGAAAGCAAGCCCAGCTAGCTCGCACGCGCTGCATCTCCCGCTGCTGATGCCAGGGAGTTTTGAGAATCACAGACGCTATTTGGGAACTGCACGTGCGGCGGCGAGCATAGTATTCGCCCTCGTGCGACCCACCCTCGCTTTCTTCTTCACCCGCTTCGCCGAGGCCGCGCTATCCGCCGCAACTCCTTCCCCTCCTCCTTCTCTTTCAACAGTAGCAGCACCGGCGGTGCCAGCGCCAGCACCGCCAGCAGCAGTAGGAGCGGCAGCGGCAGTGGCGGCGGCGGCGGTGTCGTGCGGTTCGAGGAGCAGCGAGATGCGGCCGGAGCACGAGCTGGTGGTGAAGAGATCATCGTGGCCGTTGATCTCCGCCACCAGATCCGCGATCGGCGCATCCAGCCCGCCCTTGAGCGACTTGTCGCGCTCCGCCGACGCCAGCGCCGCCAGCACCGCCGCCTTCCGCGCGTCGAAACCCTCGTCTGCCATCGCAGTGGATAATGCTCGCGATGGTCGCTACAGTCGCGATGCTCTACTTGAAAGCAACTTCAGTTGACAAGACGCGCTCGCTGCTTCATATGCGGGTAATTATCCTACCGCGCATCGCCTAATCAAGAGTGTACAGCATCTGAGAGATCAGACGGCGTTCAGGTGGACAGGAACGGCGGTGATGAAGGTAAGGGCACGGCGGTTCGGGGTTTTAGAAATGGTTTAGAATTTGTCAGGGAAAACAATCATTTAAGAAAACCCCCTCTGCCAGAAGCACACGACAGTAACTTTCTGAAACGCCAGTTATCGTACCGAACCGTACGCGAATGCGATTGACACTGTTCGCCTCTGTTGTTCATCCGTGCCCCTCTCAACTCCTTCAGCGAGCCCATCCGTTTTCACTAAATTCACCACCATCCTGTAACTCACTGCGCCGTAGCAAACCAGCTAGCACCCGTTCGTACGACCGCGAGTGAAAACTCACTTCTTTCTGTTCTGGTAAGTTTCCGCCGCCACGACTGTTTTTCTTCCTTCCGCGCGGACCCCGCGTTTTCGAGCGTCGCGACGCGACTTCCTTCCGCCTTCCCTATGGCATCCGCGCCCCCACCTTCCGCGCAACCCGCTCCGCCTCTCCCCTTCCATCTCTGGCGGCGCCGCCAGCAGCGCCGCGTGCGCTCCGCGTTCTCCGCCGCGGCTGGCGCGCGGAAGCAGTGGGACGCCGCCTCGGCGGACGGGCTGCGCGCGGCGACAGCTGTCGTGAATCGATTGGTGCAGCTGAAGTGAGTCCAGGCGTCGCAGTGAAGAGCACTTATAGCGAGTATAACCATATCGAGAACAGATAATGAGCGATGGAGTATGTACCATAGGTTATGGCGCTCATGTACATAGGTGCTGAACATACCTTGAAATCCACTCCCCTCCACTCCTCTCCACTCCGCGCCACTCCTCACCACCCCTCTCCTGACTGCACGCAGGCAGCTACCCGGCAAGAGGGCATAAAAGGCCAGGGCTGCGATGAAATCATGCCTTGAAAATTACTCCTCTCCACTCCCCTCCACTCCTCTCCACTCTCCTGCACTCTTCTGCGCTCTCCACTGCTCGTGCAGGCAGCTACCCGGCAAGGACTTGGGGGCGTTGGGCGCATGGAGGGCATCGTGGTAAGGGCTGCAATGAAAGAATACATTAAAGGTTCACTCCTCTCCACTCCTCTCCACTCTTCTGCGCTCTCCACTCTGCGCGCAGGCAGCTACCCGGCAAGGACCTCGGGGTGTTGGGGGGCATGGAGGGCATCGTGGGCAGGGCAGCAGAGAAGATGAGACGCCTCATGGTGCTCATGCCACCGGGACTCGTTTTAGTGGGACTCGTTGTAGTGGGACTCGTTTTACTGTTACCTGTTGTAGTGCGGTTCCTTATACTGTGAAAGCTCGGTACCACAATAGAAGCAGTAATCGTCTTCCCAACGCCCTCCCTTACCTTTCTCACTCACCCATCCACAACTTACTCCCTCCCTTCCCTCCCCACCCCTCCCATCTCCCTCTCCTCCTCTTGCCGAACTCTCTATCCTCCTCCCTCACATCACATCACAGCCCTCTCCTTTTTCTTCATCTCCACATCTCCGAACCTGCTCTGTTCTCCTCCCCCTTTGCTCATGCTGCTCGTGCCCTCCACTGCTCTTGCCAACACCATTGTCTGCTGCATGGCATGGCATGGCACGGCGTGGCATGGCGTGGAATGGCGTGGAATGGCATGGCACTCGCTGCAATGCCACCGTGACCCATCAGGAGGAGGATCTATGCACGCTGCGCCGCTGTTTGAATGACCTTGTGAGTCCATGGAGGGGGGGTGGGGAGAGAGCGAAGAAGTGGGAATAGAAGGAGGACACGGGCCTTGAGAGTTTGCACCACGGCTGAAAAATCTTTCCTCTGAAAGAAACTGTTTTTTTGGAAGGACAAAAAAATCAGTGAAGAAGTGGGAAGAGCACGGGAGTCGAGCCTTGTGAGTTTGCAGCAGGACTAAAAAATCCTCTTCCCGAAAAAAGAAAGAAAGAAAGAAAGAAAGAAAAACTGAATTCTGAGATGTCTTAGAAATCAACGGAGTGGGTTGAGAGGGTGACACGAGCCTTGTCAGTTTGCAGCAAGGATGAGAACTCCCCCCCATCTCTTGGTTTTTTTTAGGCGTATTTAAACGAATGGAATCTCCTAACGCATCCCAGGGCGTTGGTGGGACCACCAGTGCCTCCCAGTCATCAAATCGTGAGCCAGGCCAGGCCAGGCCCGTTGGTAAGATAACTGGGTTCAGAGGGATGAGAGGCGTTGCATAGTGGCCCCCTCTTTGTACTCCTATCACTATTCTTTCCCTCCTGATTCGCCATTCTCCCATACATCCCCCTCCCTCACATCTTCCCCACACTCGCCTCTTCTGCTTCTCCACCTGCTGCACGCCTCTAATCCTTCCCTCTCTCTTCCCCTCTCTATCCCTCTCCTCCTCCCCTCTCCTCTTCCCCTCTCCTCTTCCCCTCCCCTCGTCCCCTCTCCTCCCCTCTCCTCCTCCCTGCAGGCTGCAGCTGTTGAGGCCTTCGGCTCTGCTTTACTTCCCGTCTGCCGTCCCCCGCAAATGCCACCTCCCTTGCATGCACCTGACGCAACAGCCGCCTCTCTAGCAGAACCTGAGTTGGCAGTTGCAGCACCTTTCACTTCTGGCGCGCAACTGGCAACACTAGCAGCGTCACCACCAGCAGCAACAGCCGCAGTCACAGCACCAGCACCAGCACCGGCACCATCACCAATGTCATCGCAATTTCGAACAGCATCAGCAGCTTCAGTGTCACCCTCCCTATCAGCAGCACTGTGGGATGCACATATGGCGTGGGAGGAGGCATGGCAGGAGAGACACATGTACCCTGAGGAACCCATCTTCACCGCGCTCCATCTCTCAGTTTTCGGTTCGTTACCTTTCACAGCATTTTCTCATCAGATTGTCTTCTATGCATGTTTCCCACCTCCCGTTGCACATCTCACCTTTCCTTGCATCATGTCAGCTTTATGCTATCTAATTAAAAAAAGCCTTCCTTGATTACGGTGACAAATAATGATCTCTCCTCTCCATGTCGCCTCACACGTCACCCTCCCTCCTCACCCGTCGCCCTCCTCCTGACGCGCATCAGAGAGGTGGGCTGGGGACGTGGCAAATATGTTTCACAAGGAGCTGCTGGTCAAGGTGAGATGGATGGAAACACTTGGTTAAGCGATCGCTGGTCAACGTGGAGGTATCAACTGAAGTAATCAATCAGCCTTGTCCCGATGACCTCTGTGCAAAACATGTCTTTTGAGGTGACTTTTGAGTCGACTCAAAAGTCTAAATCGATCAGGCTTGTCCCGATAACCAGCACATCTGTGAAAAACATGTCTTTCTTGGCATCTTTGCAATCAATTTCCTTTGATTCTGTTCCCTCCTCATTTATCAAGCAGTTCCTGTATATTTCTTATTTATGTCACAGTCACAGGAACTGTATGCACCACCGCCATCTCACAGTCCCTCCTGTCCATTCTTCCTCCTTGTGCATTGCACTCCTCCCCACCAGCGACTCATACTCTCTTCACTCAACGCAGCAGTCAGCCTGGAAGCCACCACCAACACTCCAATCACCACCGCCCGTAGCCCACTCAGACTCCCTCTCAACATCCCTCCACTGTGCCTGCCATGCACCGGCCCGCCACCTGCTGCTGTGCCTGCTCCCAGACCTGCCACTGCTGCTGCACATGCGAGCACAGAAGTTTTCACTGAAGCAGTTGAAGGCAGGGTGAGAACAGCAGGAGCAGATGGAGATGCAGCCACATCACAGTGCGAGCGCGAGGACAGCAGTAAGACACCAGAGGCAAGAGAAGAAGCGGCAGAGAGAGAGGCAGTGGGATGTTTGCAGGGAGAAGGGATGGGGATTAGTGGCAGGGATACAGAGGCAGTGATCAATGGTGAGAGTGAGGGAGGAGGGCGTGAGGGGCGTGGTCAGGGAGGGAGTATACTGTTGGACGGGCAGAATGTATGGAAGCGTCAGGCATGGACAGAGGGACAGGCATGGGCACAGGGGTTTGGGGCAGCAGAGGGATTCGAGTGGGTGGTGATGCAGCAGCGGTTGGAGCAGTCGGGGCTGCTTGCCCGCCCGCCCACGCCACAACAGCTACAGGTGAGCTGCCTTGTGAGCTGCCTTGTGAGCTGCCTTGTGAGCTCTTGGGATGTTTTATTTATTCTCTTAAAAGTGACTCAAGCAGTCGGGGCTGCTTGCCCGCTCGCCCACGCCACAGCAGTTACAGTAGGCGTGGGCGAGTGGGCAAGCAGTAGGTTTCTTGTACTGTAATTTTGCACACGATACCTCAGTGCTTTGTTTCTTCTATCTGTGGCTTCCCCCCGGCAGGTGTGTCTGGTGGCATGGCTGGTGGAGATGCACGTTGACTCTCGGCACCTCTCCTCCATCTTCGCTGCTGTAGACGAGGAGGTGAAAAGTGCAGCAGCATAACTGACTGCAGACTGGCTCGTTATGATTCTCTGTTGATAGAGTGATCGCACCCGCCCTGCCAAAGAGACTTAGGGTTGTCGTGCAGATTAAAAAGCAACGCCAGCTGCAGGCTCAACTTTGTAATAAGCCTGTAGGAAGTGTGAATTTCTACTCGTTATCTGCATGCACATAGAGAGTGTTTCACATGTTGAAACAGGTGGAAGTCATTTCTTGAAGGTTGCTATAGTGATCTCGTTATTCGAGATGAGAATGTAGATCACGCTTATGCGGATTATCGTGAAACCTCATCGCTCATTACCCTAAATCACCTTCGGCAAACCGTGCCTCGGCAGCTTCATCGATCGTTGTCGCTGCAAAGGGAAGTCGGCGAAATTGGTTGCCTGGACCGTTGTCGCTGATTTGGGGGACTTGCAAAGTGAGCACTTGCAGCGAAGCAACCACTTCCCCCAACTTCGCTGCACGTGCTCACTTCTACCAACCATTTCCACCCCTAGACACGCCTCACCACACCTGCTGGTGGCCATTCCCACAGGTAGCTATTTTCCCCCCAGTCCCGAGTCCTCCCAGGTCCCGCCGAGCCCCGACCCGACCGCCTTGTCGGACCCCAAAATCTCCCGAGTCCCCGAAGTTCCTCGCGTATCAATCACGTTTCAAGCGTAAACCCTACGCTAGTCATTGGTCATGGCGGCTCAGGCGAGTCGCGAACCACCTTCACGTCGGAGTCCGACTCCAAGTCCAAATTATGTCAGTGTTTATAAATTAGTTGCTTCGTCTCCTGGTGACCAACACAGCTTCTACCTTCACTTCGCTCTCTCCATTATACCTTCGATCTACTAGCTTACGAGCACCTCGCGGCTCACATATTTGAACTCTCCTGTGCTTCTTACTCGCCAAAGATGAGGCCGACATCGTTGATTTTTTCTCTTTCACAACTCTTACTGCAACTGACATCTGACCATCTATTAGGTTTCTCAATGGCCCACGCTTGGCTGCTTCATCTCGCTCTTTACCTCCTGCTCCTCCTCGCCGTCACCCGTGCCAACGTCGTGCGGCCCCCCATCCTGCACGCGTTCCCCCCCACCACCGGCGCAACCCGCATCGCAACCGGTTGTGCGCTCGCCCGCGCGGATTCCGCGCTATTCCCGCATAAGGCGGAGCGAGAGATGTTCATTTAGGACGGGGTGACCGTTGATAAGATCATGATTGCCGGAAGCTTGGGCACGATCGACGGTCCAAATGACGATTCAGAATATCGTGCAAATATTTATGAACGCGGGGTACAACGTGATGGTCATTCAGAACGCCAACCCCGTGGAGGGAGACCCGAAGTCCGCACAAGTGGAGGGTGTGGAGTTTAAGGTGTACTACAAGCAGGGCCCATTCTCTGTGGAGAATCTTGGCAATGGCGGGTACGAGAAGTGGGCATTCGGAGGCATCTAAGAGCGCTACGGCGAAGATGAGAAGGTCGTCTTGTTCTCCTGAATTAGTTTTCCAAAGAGCCTTGGCGTTCATTGATATGATGAGGTCACCTCATTATAACAGCAATACGGTGTTGATGTTGTTAATGCTTGTTATTGTACTCATTTTTTTGAGAGCCTGGGACGATGCTCATCGACACATTTCACTTCTCTGCAATTTTTAGCTGTACCTTCACAACACAATTATAGAGCTGAAACTACTGCTCCAGATGTGATTCATTGGGACTTATGTATTGGCTACGGTATGTACACACATAGCAAGCCTAACCCAAGTCATTTCAAAGCCTGCTTTGGTTTGAAACTGAGAGAAAAAAAAAAAAGTTGAAATCTCACTTACTTTTGAAGAAAATGTCAACGACGCAGTGTAGCTCGAAACTTCGTTACGCATGTTACCCCGAATCGCTTCAGGCGACGCCTGCTCAACAACATCGATTTCGTCAACTGGCGTGCCGACTCTCGCCTGCAGCGAAGCAACCAACTCCCTCCCTGCCCTTAGGACGTGTGTGAAATTAATTTTTATGAAATTTCATGTTTTTGACTCGATTTGTGGGTCATTTGGCCTGACTCTGAAATGTGTCAAGTCTTCGAAAGGGAATTTCGAAGAGAAGCGGGAATTCCAGGAGTCGTCGGTGCCATGGACGGCACCTATATTCACTGCCAAGGACAAGGGCCTCATTGCGAGGATTTCCGCAATCGCAAAGGTTTATTCAGCATCATAGCACAACTAATTTGTGACTGCAGTGGCTACATCTATGACTTCTACGTTGGATGGCCGGGAAGCGTCAATGACGCAAGGGTCTTCCAGCATAGTCCGGCACGCCATAAGATCGAGCTAGAAGGCCTCTACGACTTCGTCATCGTCTCCGACGCTGCCTACGGACTACGTGACTACATTCACACATCCTACAGGGCGCTGCCAGGCCGCGGACTACCGGACGAGCAGCGCGTGTGGAACCTGCAGCAGAGCCGCGCGCGAATGATCGTTGAGCAGGTGAATGGCAGGCTCAAGTCGCGCTGGCGGATGCTGGACGGGCGGCTGGAGTGTGACATTTTCCGCGCCCCGCAGTACGTCTCCGCCTGCATCGTGCTGCACAATATCTATTTGCTCCTCGGCCCCCGCCCCCGACTTCTCCCTCCGCGCGAGCGCAACACGTGGTGGCAGGAAGGCCCCGCCGCCGAAATGCCGCACTTCCTGCCGCGGGAGGAGGGCTTCACTCCTGCTCGTCGTCGCGCTCGGATGCCTCTACGTTTCTGTCAGAATGAAGAATGGATGGTGCATTGATGTTGGTTGGGGTACATATAGCTAACCCTAAGTTTTGTACCCCCTAAGACAAACCTCACTATAGGCTACAACATTTGACACACCCCCATAGCCTAAGTGAGGGGTGTCTAGCAGAACCAAACGAGTACGGTCACAAGACCAGTCCAAGAAACAAAGCTCAGGGTGGATCACAACGTCACCACACAGTCTGAGCACAAACAACAGTGGCCACAAGGCCAGTCCAAGAAGTAACAGAGGTATATAGAAAGCAAAGTAAACAGTACACTCAAGTCTAAGCAACACGAGAACCAGTGTCAACAAGGCCTAACTGCACACAGCACCTCTGGTGGTCACAAGGCGGAAGCGTCTTGGTGAAGATGTCTGCAGTGTTGGCCTCGGACTCCACAAACTCAAAGCGAGCCTGTCCACGCCTCTGCAACTCTCGCAGAAGAAAGTACCTGACGTGAATGTGCTTCACTCTGCTCTCCAGTCGTGGCTCTCGACAAAGGAGAATAGACGCCTTGTTGTCAGTGAACAAGGTCGGTGCAGAGCTCGGCCGCTCACCAAGGTCGGTGAGCAAGAAGGTCAACCAACGCAGCTCCTGTGCCGCCATGGCACCAGCGTAGATCTCAGCCTCAGCTGTAGAGGTCGAGACCGAAGAGGAGCGCGTGGACCGCCAGGAAACAGCTCCAGAACCCAGGCTGAAACAGTACCCCTGAGTAGACCTGTGAGTCTCAGCGTCGTCAGCGTAAGAGGAGTCACAGTGACCAGTAAGTACGACAGACTGCTGCCCTCCAAGAACTAGCCCCACGCCTGACGTCGTCGCTAGGTACTTCGCCACCCTCACAGCTGCTGTCCAGTGAACAGGACGGTGTCTCCCTGGCGCAACAAAGCGCGCAAGAACGCTGAGAGGGAAGGCGAGGTCCGGGCGAGTACAAGTCATCAGGTACATGAGGCAACCCACAAGCTCTGCGTAGGGACCACTAGGCTCGAACGGCTCGTCAGGAAAGGGTCCAGTGAGTCTGTGGTCAACAGCAAGAGGTGTGCGCTGTACTGTGGAGTGCTGAAGCCCGAACCGCTGAAGGACCTGCTGCACCATGTGTGACTGTGAAAGTGTAATGGTGCGAGCAGCTCTGTCCCTGGTGATCTGCAGGCCAAGGTAGTGGCGCAGCTCACCAAGATCAGTGCAGGTGTGTCTCTTCTGCAGTTCGGACTTCACGTGTGCCAAAGCAACCCTGTCAGGGGTGGCGAAAACAAGGTCGTCAACGTAGACCAGAACAAAGAAAGGTGTGGGGCCACGACGAACGAACAGCGACGGGTCAGCAGAAGACGGCTGGAACCCAAGGTCAGACAGGGTAGAACGCAGGGTGTCGTGCCACTCACGAGGAGCCTGACGAAGACCGTAAACCGGTCGCCTCAGCCTCCACTGGGTCCCAGGAGGGAAAGAGCCAGTGAAGGCAGAGGGACGACGCAACCAGACCTCCTCGTGAAGACTGCCCTGAAGGAAAGCAGTAGAGAAGTCGAGAGAGTGTAACTCGTAGTCTCTCTGTGCTGCTACGTGTAGTAACACCCGAAGAGTGGTCATCTTCGGGGTGGGCGCGAAGGTCTGAAAGAAGTCAACTCCCTCGCGCTGACTGAAACCTCTAGCCACGTAGTGCGCCTTGAAGACCGGAGGAGATCCCGGTGGCCGCTTCACCCTGTAGATCCACATGCCGTCGACTACGTTCGCCCCCGGAGGGGGAACCTCATCGACGTAGGTGCCTGTGGATCTGTAGGAGGCCATCTCTGCGTCCATGGCAGCTCTCCACTGAGAGGCCCAAGGCCCTGACACTGCCTCAGTGTAAGTGCGAGGAGTCGGAATGTCAAGGGCGTCGGGGTCACCCTCAGGGGCGAGGAGCATGGCACAGAGATGAGGGGAAGCGGCCGCCAGGAACTCTAGCTCAAACTGCCTGTCCTCTAGGGCGTCACAGCCAAGGGCAGACACACCCCCGACGGCCAGAGGACTGGAAGGAGGAGCAGCCACAAGAGCGGTGGCGAAGTCAAGGCGGCGGGTAGAGGCAAACTCAGTGACTGCGGCAGTAAGAGCGGACACAGAGGACACAGAGGCACGAGGGTGGGTAACAAGAGAGGCGAGAACACGAGAGAGAACAGGACGGTACGTGCGGTAGTAGTCAGTGACAGGAGAAGGAAGCGACACAGTGAGGGCCGACTCAGGAGGAGACGGAAGCACAGACAGAGACGGACGAGGTGGACGAGAACAA